AAACTGAACTTTATTGACTGTGTCCTTTTCCAGACTTTTTATTAATTTATTGTAATTAATTATTTGTATGCAATTAAAAACTAATTTTAAACGATGCCAAAGAAGGATAACTTCTCAGCGCCTACATAAGTACACGCACCCATTTTTTTTCTTTAGATTTAAACATCTAGCAGTTAAATGCTTAAAATAAATAAAAACATAACTATAATTGCTATTTCTTCTTTAAAGTAAATATAAGTTATTTTCGGGATTGATAACATGTACCTTGTTTTAAGCGAGTTTCCGATATTTCGGCACTGTTGCAAGCGCCATGATCACTCCGTGATACTCTCCGTGGTACATGGTAACAAACCCGTATAACTTATATTACTATAATGTTAGTGACCATGAAAGTTTAAAACAATATATTTACAGACAGAAAACCACAGTAAAATAACACAACTTTTTGGTGATGTTTTTGCTGGCGAGTAAGATTCCAGGACTCCAGTGTAGGCAACGGTGCTAGTGATATTTTTGGTGTGTTGGTATGATGTCTTGTCTAAGCTGACCGCTTACTATCGGGCGGGCCATACATTGTTTATTATTTGCCAAACTTTTAACATTACAAAAATGTAATAAATCTATAATTGTAATTTTTTTTAAATTATTATTTTTAACTGTTTTTTTTTAATTGACCACGGATACAAGTCCTTTAGTCGTATACATAAATACAAATCTTAATCTTTTTTTTTATTTACATTAGATTTTCGGTGTAACGCATTCCAATGTTTCTTGCAGTGTTTGGCACGAAATGTATCGAGTTGGTTTTTTCGATAAGCTTCTGTGAGGTACTCAACACTACAATAAAGTTCTCGCGTCCACTTGACCGGAATAGCGTATATTTTAAAGATTCCACTAATTCTTCAGTTGCGCAGATAGTTGTAACACAAAATCACACCAATAATATTTCACAATATCCACTATGAACGAATTTAAGAATAATTGAATTAAGACGCCAACCTAAGACAGACAAATAAATATGAAATCCCGCCAAAAACTCCCATATTATAACTATTAACGGGAGTGTTACCACGTATTGTTGCCAGCGCCATGATCATGATCATGGCGCTTGCAACAGTGCCGAAATATCGGAGACTCATAAAAAACAAGGTACATGGTAACACTCCCGTTAATAGTTATAATGTCAGTGACCATAAAAGTTTAAAACAATTTTTTTAAATTATGATGTAAAACGCTTGGTTTGCTGATTCTGAAAATACATACTTACACTTTTCATTAGAAACGACGTGCGTAAAATAAATAAACATTATAATGCATTGGAACATTTTTCTGCGTAAGTAATAGTTATACACCTGCACTAATTTGAGAATGTTCAGAATAGCAGCTTTGTATTGGAAATTTTAATTTGTACACTTTATTTAGGAAATTCAGCTTTCATTTCTTTCATTATCGTCTTTTGTAATACGAAAATGGGTCATTTATCTATCCGAATTATAGTTGAAAAGCTTTTTTACGTAACAGCACAGCACAATATATAATAGTGTAAGGTAACAGTATTATTTATAGAATTGGATGATTGTTTATTTCACAATCTAGTCTAAACCTGATCGTGCCTCAGAATCGTTTCAACGGTCTGCTAGTTTCAGCTACTGACGTAAGATGTCGATCGATGAAACGGCTTCATTTCATGTTTTCGTTCAGGGTTCCGCACTTTTTAGATACTTATTTTTATGTCAAAAGCGTGACAAATAAACGTATGATGCTCCCCCCCTGATGGTAAGAGGCCACCATACCTTAGAGATGCTTGCTATACTAAAAATATCCTCGCACCGTTGTTGTTACCCTGACCTCATCCCTTCTACTACCACCATAATGTAGTATTGTTTTAATATGATCTTCTGTATACTACAATGAGGCATGAGGTCACTCGCCCAGACGGGCGCTCCAATTAGAGCAGGAAATCTGCATTACCCTACCTCTCTTAAACCTATTTATTTTTATGGTACTATTTGAATGCGACTTAGTATGCACGGGACCGGAGACAGCTTTCATCGAAGCCTTTACCGTAATATGTAAGTAAGTAGTTTTTGGTTGCTGTTTAAAAAAATACAAAGAAAGATGATTAGATTTAGATCTCGCCGCGGCCGAGCTTTGTGCGAGACACAGATTTAAAATCACTACTACTACGAGTATGTTTATACATATTGGTATGGAGGTGTTCCTACGAAACCATGCGGTTTCTAGGTATGTGTGATGCCTTGAATTCATGATGACACACGACAAACAAGTGTGATGGTAAGTGGGTGGGTGAGTACGTACCTTCATAAATTTAAAGCAATAAGTACCTATAATAATATGAACGAGACGCGCGGTCCAGGCATGGGCCACTACGGATTCAATGGGCAAAATCTAAAAAAATATTTTACTCTAATTATGGTGAAATGAATGTACGCATTTCCAGGGCTGCAGTCCTCGGGATTGCGTGTCGGGTGACCTGTGCAGGAGTATTTTCTGGTTTATTCTCGTCGCACGCTCCCGGTGGCGAAAGCAAGCGTCAAGCCATTTCCAGAATTGAAAAAAAATCTCAAATATCTCAAAACCGAATCTTAAATAAGTAATTAGCTTTAGTTTGAAGAATTTTATATGGTTTATAGCCGCATAATTCCTAACCCTAATTATTTCCTTCCTCGCTAAAGCAGAAAAACTATAAACAGCAGACGTCGTAATGTCCCAATGTATTCTTCACCAATCAACCAGAAAAAATATTTCAAACTTAAAAGAGAACATCTAAAAAGATTTCTATTGAAAAAAGATCTTTCCGTTTCGCAGATTTACTAATACCATTTTCACAGTAGATTTAGGTTAATTTAATTTGTTTCTTTTATTTTTTTAATCTTCTTTATAGATCTAAATTGAAAGAAGATCTTTTCATTTCGGACAATTTCCATGGTAGATTTAGGTTAACTTAATTTAGTTCTTTTATTTATGGTATCTAATTTTTACATAAGTTTACATAATTTATAATTCTGAAGAAACCCTTCCGCCCGGATGGCGCCCCGATTGCGGAAGGTGCGAGTTCGAAACGTGGAAAGCGTGGTTTTTTTTTCTAGAATAAAAATCTTTAGCTCATAGAGAATTAGTACTAGAAAAGCTATAATTTAGCACATTTTTTTTAATGTGAGCCCTTTAGTTTGACCGTAGAACAATATTGAGACAATGAGAAGAAAATTTTTCAATTACATCATTAAGTCGTATGAAAAAAAAAAGTCGTAAGAAAATTATGCTACGAAAAGCAGATTTTTGTGAGAGACTAGGAAATTGGTTGTTTATATACTGTAATGTAATTATAAAAACCTTGATGATCAACTAAAAACAAGATCACCAATATAATATCAATGTGGTCTTCCGTGAGGTGGAGGGTCCTCAGAAGGGTCAGTGTGATGTGATACCACGGGGTGTACAGACACCACGTGGTACCGCATCACACTGACATTTAACTTTGTGTATCCACTCATCACACTGTATGTATCCAGATAATTAGGATCAGGAGACGTGCAGGCAGACCAAGCTCGCTTTGCCACGGGTGAACGCTGACCCCTCCAAGACTCTTCTACAGCTAAGCAAACCTACATTGCGCACGGTAACAGGTGCTATTCAGGAGATACCGGACATGCCCATTTTAACAGACATCTTTTTAACTTAGGTGTCACGGACAGCCCCCTATGCAGAGGATGCATGGAGGGAGAAGAAACAGCTACTCACGTTCTGCTGGAATGCAATGGAGTTGCCGAATACCGGTCGAAATATATCGGCTTACCAGGAAATCTCCAAGAGGCATTCACCAATGTGAAGGCCCTGGGGGCGTTCCTGACGGAGCTGGGCTGGCTGGAGTGATTCCGGCTACACGACCTCCTCAAGCAAAACAGGCGCCATAAGGACGTTGTTGCAAGAAGAAGAAGATCCAGATAATTAAAACCTTGGTCTTTATCTAATAGCTTTAACAGTCTAAGAATTTTGCGTTTAAGCGAACACATTGTGCCTGAGTGCCGAATTTTTTCGCGTTCCTCTGCCTAATTGTATAATGCTGACATCTTTTAAAACCTTGGTCTTAATCTAATAGCTTTAACAGTCTAACAATTTTGCGTTCAAACGAACACATTGTGCCTGAGTGCCGAATTTTTTCGCGTTACTCCGCCTAATTGTATAATTCTGATCGAAACGTTGCGATGCAATTTTCTTAATCGGTTTACAACACTACCGCGGCTTGCGTTAGGGTACATTCTATTGTTACTATTGTTAGGCCTTGCACAAATAAGAACTTTTTTTCTTTGAAATGAAATGCAATCAAACAAATTTTACGGATTGATAGATATAGCATTTGTTGTTTATTCAAGTCTATTGTTGTTCATCATATCGGATTTTAACGTTTAAATACTTACACAAGTTATAATTTTAAATCTTACCTACTTTTTTTTTTGAAAATATATTTTAATAAATTAAGTAATTAAGATTTTAACATTACCTACGCAAAAGAAACATGCTCTAATTTACATACGGCCGGCCTCTAACAGTACCCTTAGTACGAGTTTTACAATTACGAAAACTATGATAGTTTTCGTGAGCTCGCACTCGTACTAAGTGTACTGATTTTATTGTTTTCGTTTCAATACAAATAGAGAGTGTATAAATTCTATTATTAAATCATTTGCTTTTAAGTATATTTGGTTACTTTTCACCAAAATGGACATAGAAACATAATTTACAATTACGAAAACTATGATAGTTTTCGTGAGCTCAAACTCGTTCTAAGGGTACAGGCTGTAGATTACTCGATAATTTAGAGACTGTTATATATCTTAATTTTGATTTGTAATAAATAATTTCTAAAAATACGCCATGTTTTCCTTAAGTGAACGTCATTCCCCCTACTAGATAAGTGATTGTGTACAAAAAGTATTTTTTTTTGTTTTAGAAATAAAATGCATTTTTTATTTAAATCTGTTTTTATTAATAAAATAATAAACTGCGCGCAGTATTTATCAGTTTAAGTACTTACACTAATTTAATTTATGGTTCATCAAATCACATTTATCACGAGACATTCAACATTAACATTGGCGTCTCAGAAAATGTGTTTTGGTCGGTAAATAAAAATTAAATAGTAAGGTTTTGCTTACTTAATTAAAATTATCACAAAGTAATTTTATTTACAAATAATACTTAAAAATATATATAATTTCATATGTAGATAGGTATGTGAAAGTCATTTATTCTCCCGTCATCACCTCCAAGAATTCTGAAATGAAAAAAAGCTAGTCAGTAAACGATATACCTATATATTTTAATTGTTCTAAGTCCAATAAAGAGAATAAGGCATATGAAAACACTCGTCATCGTCCGTATAGCTACATTTTTTGAGAAACCCCCAGGAACCTGACAATTTTCTGGGATATACATATAGTATTGTAAGCTATCTGGATCTTCTCAAACCAGATATTAAACTGTACTTATAAGTTTGCCAAATTTCGTTTGCCTAGTCCGGTCAGCCATTCTGCGGGCTTCATACAAACATGCGCATTTATAAAATTAGTGGAAGAAAATTAGAGTTAAAAATTTTGGTCCAAGTGGGCCGTTTCTCTTTCCGTTTTCCGTTTAGTTGAGGAGCTCGATAGCGCAGACGCAGTGCATTCGGACGATGATCGCTTACTGGATGGGTGATCAAAAACTTATTATCTTGGGCCCCTCCGTGTTTCAGAAAGCACGTTAAGCCATTGGTCCCTGCTGCGTCTGCAGTCGAAAGCACCCACCAATCCGCACTGGGCCCATGTAGTGGGTCGCAACCCAATCTCCCTATTCCATCTGTAGGGAAGGCCTGTGTTCCAGCAGAGGGACATAAATAGGCTGGTGATGATGGGCCGTTCCTCACCGTCAAAGTCCACAGTGCCTGAGCCGTCAGAATCGATCTCCTCAATCATCGTGTCCAGCTCCTCAGCATTGATGGTGTTGTCCAGCTCCCTGAAGATTTCTTTCAAAACGTCGGTGGTGATGTATCCGTTACCTGAATAATAATAATAATAATATTTATTTATTTCACAAGCCAGTTTTACAAGAATCGTACAACACAATATACAGTATAGCTTAGAATAAACATTTATAGTATCCTCTGTGCCTGTACTAGGTTATAAAAATACCTGTATCACAGACACAGCGCTCATCCCTAAGGACCAGTTATACAACCTTTATGTAAGGAAAAATACAATTCTTGTGTTAGCTTAACAAAGTTAAATCAAAATATTATTTAAGTAAAAGAAATTAATTATTTATGTGTTTATCGAACCTCCTTTTGTGTGAAGTGAATGTGAATGTGTGTGTGTAGGAGGGTGTGTGAAGATTGGACTTTAGATGTCGAGTATAATATTGGTAAAGCTAATACTATGATTATGATACTTGGAAAGTTAAAAGTATATACATGAAATACACAATTTAAAACTAAGATTGGATTTTAAAAGGTTTTCTGTGCTTGCATAATTTAATTGTTTAAGCCAATTACAAACTTTGGATTTACACTGTGCTTTGTTGAGGGGATATATATTTAAAATTTTATTTATTTGATTGTAAATGTAGGGGCCGATGAAACATGTGAATTTATGCATGTATGAATGTTTAAAGAACGGTATAACATAAACTTTATAGCCGCGTCTAGTACTGATGTAGTATTGGTCGTATGATGTAACTGAGTGTTGTTACAATGATTTCTTTATAGTTTAAGAGTAAGATGTACTTTTATGTTATATTGTTTTAAAACTTTCATAGAAATTTATGTTTTTACGTTTTTGTACTTGTTTTTAGAGAATTTCCGATATATCGGCACTGTTTCAAGCGCCATGAGCACGGAGTAACGCCGTCGTCGTTCGCGTTATAGATCATAGTAACAAACCCGTAAATAGCATTAATTGTACTTTTATGGGTTCCTTATGCCACCGTGAAATAATATATTATACCTCAGAATAAATAAATAAATAAATATTTCCAACACTCACACCATTTAGCCCAGCCCTAAAGTAAGCACTATAAGGCTTGTGTTATGGGATACTAGGGTAACGGATAGAATACATATATTGCACATATACAGAAATACATATTAAACATCCATGACTGGAATACAAATGCTCGTATTCATCACACAAACATCTGGTCCCACCGGGACTCGAACCCTCTCGAATCGGCGACACCATGAAACCCGGCGTATAAACCACTCGGCCACGGAGGTCGTCAAGGGAATAAAAAAGTTAAAGCTTTAGAAAGGGTTATCACAGACATTACATTTATAAGGTTTCTCTCCCGTGTGAATTCTTTGATGTGGGGTTAACTACTTGCTTTCAGTTTAACACGATCTTCGTTTTTTTTGAGTGTGTATGCTGTTGGTCGCAGATGACCTTTACGGCGTCACCGGGTTTGGGGACGGGGAGACCTCAAGCCGAGAATTGGCGAGTGCCTCTAGAGGTATTCCAGGCGGATGGCATCTTCCCGGGGGAAGTCTCCTCTCCGTCTGGAGCCTCTAGACCACCCGAACCTGAGGGGGTCGGCTGTAGAAATTAATCTGGTTAGCAATATTTTCCGAGGCTCATCAAATTTATTACCCCATCTGATATTAAGTGCAAAAGAAGTCGAGTCTCGAAAATAGATGATGCGACTGAAGGTGTGCCACTTTACCAATTCTCACCTTGCCGGCCCTGAACCTACTCCCTGCCTGCTATGTTATTTTAAAGTGTAACTGTCGTCTGTAAGGTGGAGGTTGCATCCCCAGACGGGCGTTCTATTTCGAGCGGAAAATCCGCCGTGCCCTAGCTCTCTAAATATAGTATAATATTTGAAACAAAATCTTTTTTATTATATCGATAAATAATACTATGAATAGAGATAAAAAAAAGTTTTCTTTTTCAATCCTCGTCACTTCCAAATACACGTAAGTCATTAAGTACACACCTAAAGATCATGCATTATGCACTCGTTATGTCAAAGGCTCAAGCACGAACTTAGCCAGATCCGTAATCGTATCGCCATCGTCAATTTTTGTATTTCTCCTTCTGGAGCCACTTTGTTCTTACATCCAGTGGCGGCGCTGTTTAGTATTCATTGAAACTTTGACGATGCGATAATTACGGAGTTGTCAAATTTCGTGTTTGGGCCTCAGATGAAGCAAAAGTTAGTTTAGGCCACGAACCTTCTTTGTCGTATAATCTGAAGGCCTCCCTCAGTTCTCTCAGCATAGCTTCGTCGTCTTCCTCTTCTTCCGTCAAGAACTTAGCGGCCAGCGAACAGAACTCGCGGAATTCCAACTCCCCAGAACCTATAACATAAAAAACGTTAAGATTCCTTTAAGAAGAATTTAAGATTAATGTAAATAAAAATATCGCCATTCACAAAATAATCTTATTTAAACCTGCGAAGAATATTTTTAGGACCTCCTTTTTTGTTTGAAGTCGGTTAAAAAGAACAACATAATATAGCAAGTTCATAATTTCATCACCGGCACCGTACGTTATCACTATCTCAGACGAATATTGGATATTTCATGTTATTCATTATTTCGTCACTGCTACACAAGCCTCAACAGCCGTGATCGTCTAGTGGTTAGGACCCTACGTTGTGGCCGTAGTAACCCAGGTTCGAATCCTGGTCACGGCAATGTGAAAACATTGTCACGGTGAGGCGGTATTTTTGTTTTTTTTACATTGTGTATTTTATTTATATATAAACTAACATTTTATGCTAATATTGTATTGATAAAACTTATTTTCTACGACAAAATATGAAGCAAACCCAAAGTATTTCGAATTTATTTTTAACTAATAGAATGTTGTACTGGATAAATATGGGTAATTAAAATTCCAGGATGATGTGTAATTAATTACTTTAAAAATATTCATTTCATTAGCACCGCCATCTATCCTGCTCTATAGCGACTATTTTCAAGTTAAGCAACTCTACAATGTTAAAATAGTTCTTCCTATTTGCAACAGGTGGCGCTTATTCACTATAGTTTATTCATAATAAGATTTTATTCTGATAATCATTGTTATGAATTCATATTTTAAAATTAAAATTAGATAGTAGTCATTTTGTGATAACTATCTAAATAGAGAGTGTTTTTGTGAGTTTTTCGTAATTTGTCACCAAATGTCAGTTCACTTATTTCATTGAGTTTGACAGCATCGCCACTAGATGGCACTTTTCCTAACACACAAAACTAATAAAAGTAAACTCCACACTAATAATTTCTTTTTCTTACATATTTCCCAATTTTATTAAATTGTTGTTTACAAAGAGTTGATATTATATTAAACACAATTACTTTTGATAATAAAAAGACCTTGATCTCTAAGAAATACCAGTAATTATGTACAATAAATACCTTGGACGAAAACAATTTTATTAATATGTACCATATTATTAGGAATTCGCCAAAAGCACGGATTTAAACAGTTTCTAAGTTTTTTTGTGGAACAAAACAAAAAGTCGTAATATAATATACACAGGGTAAACTAATATTTACAGTAATTGAAATCACATGAGAATCCAGGGCTCCACGGGGTAGGGGATGACTAAGCATCTGGCTTGTTTGCCACCCTTTAAACATAAAAAACATAGCATCTCTGAGTTATTAAGCTAAAACATTTTTATTCCTTACCGTCTTGGTCGACTTCATCAATGATCTCCTTGAGTGTGTCTTCATCCAGCTCGTGGCCCAACATTTCTAGGATGGTGCCGATCATGTCTGTACTGATGACACCCTTTTTCTCATGGTCGAAGGCGTCGAACGCGTTCTTCAAAACTGAATTATTGTAAAGAAAAACATATTATTAATTTTATTTTACACTAGTGGGTGACCACGACTTGTATGTATGTGTATGTACGAGTATCTACAATTCTTTATTCCACCATAACATCTAAAAGCCGGAACCGATTTAGATATGTGTGGTATCGTTAGAATCCTTTCATTATCCCGGGTAACATAGGATACCTGAACTGTTAAAATTTAAATAACAGCAATGTCAAAATGTTAATTATTTATTTCAAACGAAAAAGTCTTCTTATTATTACAATATACGTATCATTTGAAAGGTCTTAATGCGATCATATCGAATACATACAGTTTACACTTTTTAGTTCACTTTTTATGGTAGTCGTTTTTTTTTATTATTTTTTTTATTATTCGAGATATTTTACAGTTTAGGAACCTAGTTGCCAATTACAATGTGATGAATTTGAGGTTTTAAGTTAACTCTCTTTGCTTTGAGGTAAGTATGCAAATAGGTTCTAAGTATTTCTAGGTTATATTTCAATTTGGTGCAATTCTATTAGCGTATAAACATTTGATGGGAATGTGCATCCTAATTAAATACAAGAAAATACAATGAAAAACAAATCTGCTGAACTCCGTGAATTATTATAATGTGGGAAAAAGGTGACACAGTACATTTTTATTTGGTATCACTATCAAAATCCTAAGAAAATTCATTACTTACGCAGTAGCTGACTTTTGTCGAGTTCTTCCTGTACACCGCACATGAAAAAAATATTCAATATCAGTAATAAAAACATTATTAATAAATTAATAGCTAAAAGACAAATGTCTATCTGCCTACAGTTTGGGCTAGTACAGTCTCTTATTCTCAAAAATATAATGCTCATTAATAAGTTAACAGTAAAACACTAGGTAATTTTATTTAAGTTATTTCAAGCATCACATACCATTTTTATTTAATATTAATTAAATTAACACTGAACTTAAAAAGGACTGTTATAAGCAGTCTTGCATATAAACACACATTGATAGGCAAATTCTGGATCTAGGTCGTTTTATATGTCACGGGTTCGATGTTTTCCGGCTAGGTAGAATTTTTCAGTGGCTGCCAACCTTTTTGAATTTGATTGTTAATAAGTTCGTTGAGGAGCTCGATGGCGCAAGTGGTAAGCGCGTTCCGCTGCGTTCGTTGAAGTGAAGCAACTTTTGCAGTGGTCGGTCATTGGATGGTTGACCAAAAAATTTACTATCTCGAGCTCCTCCGTGCTTCGGATGGCACATTAAGCCGTTGGTCACGGATCGAACCAATTGATTCTTGACCCATCTGCTCGATAATTCACTTAAAAATGTCAAAACAGACAAGTTTTCCTTTAGAATGCGCAATTGCACTTAAAACCTTCTAATAACAAGGAAACTGTTTTAATATTGCTCAAAGATATTTGAAATTTGTCCTTTATTTTCAATACTAATAATAGATCATGTTATAAATAAAATGGGAATAGAAGTTTGAATTTTTAAATCATTTTTAAAATCGCAAATCGATACCTTAATTTGCAATCCTAATAACTCCACTTTTTCACGAAAATTACATTTTGATACCGGCACCAACTAGATTTTTTACTCTATTTTTTGAAATAGTAATAACTCCATGATTTCCAACTGTATTGGTGTAAAACGCCAGTCTGATATTTTGTATGGCGTCACAGGAGCGTACGAATGCTCTTGAAGATTTATTTTCAAAACAAATGGTTAAAGTGTGTTTTAAGTTTCGCTAATACACTATTAAAGAATAAGTTATTGAAATTTCATTTTCTCTATATAGGTGTATTATCCTTATAAAGTATCTTTGTTATTGTTTTATTGAGGCTGCTAAATCATTAATTTAATAAATATAAATTAATATAAACACATTAATCGACTTTTGGACGGTACGAAGTTCGCCGAGTTAGCTAGTTAGATATAAAGAAAAGATAGAGAGAGATTTTATAATTAAATGTTTTAAAAGGGATTTTTTTATCGGAAGCCGTAAATATACGTGGGACACAGAAAGTTTCAAGAATCTAAAAAAACTAACTTCAAAAAGAATATTTTTATTTAATCTTTTCAAAGAACTCTCCACCAGCCCCTATACAAAGTTTTATGTGTCTGAACCAATTTTCAAATCATTTTTTAGTCCTCCGCAGACACCTGCTCAAAACGCTGCTAGCGCTTCTTCCGGCGATGAAAACCGTATCAGTTTGAGCTGATTTTTTATTTTACGAAATAAAAAGAAGTCACACGGAGCCAAATCAGAACTGTAAGAAGGGTATCCCAAGACTCTGATTGGTGAGGAGTCCAGGAAGTCCTTCGTTTTGATCGCAGAGTGTGCGGGCGCGTTGTCGTAGTGAAGAAGGACCTCGCGGAGCCCGGCGTTAGGTCGCTTGTTGCTCATTGCAAAAAAAAACTTCTGGCAGGCATTTTGTGCTATACCATTCGGCGTTGGTGCTGCTTTGGTCTCGAAGTGGAATTTAAATTAGGTACCCCGCCAAAGTGAAGAAACTAGCGATCAAAATTTAATTGTCCCCGTGAGGGCGGAGGACCTAAAAAATTTATATGACGAAAGAAGAAAAAAAAAATTCTGATCTACAGCCACTTAAGTCATCTATGCCCCATGATTATCACGCCTATTACGATGCGTTGCCATAACTTGTTTGTATTTAGAATTTATTTATTTATTTGCATTAGAATACGATTGGACTCTGCTTAAAGTTTAAGATAAAAACAAACAACTCCACTTTTAGTTTCGATTATTGCCTAAACTAAATCTAACAACTCCTTTTTTTTTCGTTACAAAGCCCAATGGTTATAAAAAAATAGATTTTTAAGTGTTATTAGATAAATAAAAGCATAATTTCCAAAGGGATATTTGGTTTTCTTTATTGCGTTAAATAAAATTAATTATGACGTTTTAAGTCTCTACTGTAAAATTTGCCCCAGAGGAGTTAGTAGGTTTGCAAATTAGGGTATCCAAATGTAACAGAAACTCTTTTGATTTCTTGTCATTATAAAAAACGTTAGTTAACTGATAAGGAAAATCTTTGTGTCACAGGAAGTCGGCAAAATCTGTCCCGTCAAATATCACTGTTCATAAAATAACAATTTGTTTCCAGGGACATTTAAGCAAAAATGTACCTTATTGTTTTGAAATGGTTGTAACAAAATAGTTTATGGTGGATCAGGAATTAAATTGCCTAATTGTACATTTGCCTATTTAATATTCTAGAGAAGACAAACAAGAAAGATGTAAATAAGCAGCGTAAGTCATTCAAAGTATTTAATGTGCCTTCTGAGGTAGTTGCCGATCATTCAAAGAAATCCAATCTCTCCGACAACTTTAGTAAACAGATAAACACTTCGATGTGAAGCGTTGGACGTCAGATTATTTGATATGTACGTATATTCAACTAATTGCCAATACACGATCCTGATTGAGTTTCCCTCGTACGCATATCCAGTAACGAAATGTGCCATTCCAGGACATTCATCATAGGATTCCCATGCGACCTTGTAACAGTTGATCAACATGAGATATTATCTCCGATTCAACAACCGATCAATCATTGAGAATTCAGTTACATGAATGAATTATTTCTATAAAATCTGTATCAATCTTATAAATGATGGGGTACACCCCATTATTATATCTACTATAACGTAAGCAAAGCAAAAAGAAGCTACGACATTTTTTTTGCTACCTAATTTACCTTAGATAACAGAACAAAAGGAAATTTATGCTCTATAATCTGATAATATTAACTGTTTGTATTATAAAATTGTCTATGTGCCTTACATATTACCTTTGAAAGTATCCCCAAATTTAAAAATTACCAGACATGTCAATTTACTTGATAGTTAACTTATATTACATTTTTTTGCAATTATTTATTAAAAAATACAGAAAGCAACACGGAGCTTATGTTGAATTAATAAATTACCCCATCAAAACTTTACCTAGATAATATAGTGCCTGATTCCGAAGTCCGTATTATATGTAGATATTATATGTTAAAGGATTCGGTAATTAATTATACGGTTGAATTAATTAATTCGCTAAACCTTAGATAATCCCCAGGTAAGTAGTAGGTAAAGTTTCATCAGTATAATCTAATCTAATAGAATCTGTGGAAGTGGAATTTGTGCAATGCCGAACCTCTAGAGATATGTCTGTTTTACTCTAGTGTTTTGCTCTGAGCCAGAAGTGTAGTGGAATTTATTATTTAAGATAATTAATATAATACCTTCAATACAATTTCAATATTCAGTTTCAGGAATATTTTTATAAACGTCATCATCATCAACATCAACAGCCTATCCTAGTCCACTGCTGGACATAGGCCTCTCCAATTGCACGCCACTCAGATCGATTTTGGGCTACTCGCATCCAGCTCCTGCCAGCCACCTTGCGCAAATCGTCACTCCACCGTGCCTGAGGACGTCCTACACTACGTTTGCCTAGACGCGGTCTCCACTCCAGAACTCGTCTACCCCAACGGTTATCGGTTCTTCGGCAAATATGGCCAGCCCACTGCCACTTCAGCTTACTAATCCGGTGGGCTATGTCGATAACTCTGGTTCTCTGTCGGATTACCTCATTTCTGATGCGATCCTTCAGAGAAATGCCGAGCATAGCCCTTTCCATAGCGCGCTGAGCGACTTTGAACCTGTGGACCAGCCGTACCGTCAGTGTCCACGTCTCGGCTCCGTATGTCATCACAGGTAGGATGCACTGATTAAAGACTTTCGTCTTTAGGCACTGTGGGATCGACGATGTCAAGACTTGACGTAGCTTCCCAAACGCTGCCCAACCCAGTCGAATTCTTCTATTCACCTCGTCCTCAAAGTTGTTTCTACCTAACTGCAATGTCTGCCCGAGGTATACATATTTTTGAACAACTTCGAGAACGGCACCGTGTATTGCAATCGGTTCCGGTAGAACATGTTCATTGAACATGACCTTGGTTTTATCCAAGTTCATCCGTAAGCCGATGCGTATGGAAGAGTCAGCTAGGTCATTCAGCATTTTTTGTAGGTCCTGCAGGGTTTCTGCCATGATGACGATGTCGTCTGCAAATCGCAAGTGAGAGATGCGTTCGCCATTGATGTTGATGCCATATCCTTTCCAGTTCAGCGTCTTGAACATATCCTCCATTGCATTAGTGAACAATTTCGGGGAAATAACGTCCCCTTGTCTCACTCCACGATGCAACGATATGGGACTTGTTTGCTGATTCTGTACTTGGACAGACATGGTGGCGGCTTCGTAGAGACATCTAATCACTTGGATGTATCGCCAGTCGACTTGGCAACGCTGCAGGGACTCCAGGACAGACCAGATTCCAATCGAGTCAAAGGCCTTCTCATAGTCCACAAATGCTAGGCACAGAGGCTGATTGTACTCTTCAGTCTTCTGTATAATCTGCCGTACTGCGTGGATGTGGTCTATGGTGCCGTATCTGCTCCGAAATCCAGCCTGTTCCGGTGGTTGGAAGTCATCAAGTCTTCGCGCCAGACGGTTCGTGATCACTCTTGAGAACAGCTTATAGACGTGGCTTAGAAGAGATATGGGTCGATAGTTCTTGAGTAGGGTCTTGTCCCCCTTTTTAAAGAACAAGACGACCACACTCCTACTCCACATCTCCGGAGTTCTCCCTTCGAACAGGACAGTGTTAAAAAGCTTTAGGAGCTCCCTCAGTACGGGTTTACCTCCAGCTTTCAAGAGTTCTGTTGTAACACCATCCTCTCCAGGGGCTTTTCCATTTTTAAGCTGCCCAAGAGCAATCTCAATTTCGCCAATACTGACTTCTGGCAGGTCTTCGGTGAAGTGACGCGTTAATGTGGCTCTAGAATCCTCATTTCCGGGATCTGGTCGAGATGCATGTGATGCGTACAACTGGCCGTAGAAGTCTTCCACTTCCGAAAGGACTGCCGGCTTTGAAGCAACAACTTCCCCACTTGGTGTGGTCAACTTCGTCAGATAACTTCTTCCAAGAGATTGTACGAACACTTTGGACCCTCGATTCTGCTCGATCGCTCTCTCGATCGAGAGAGTATTGGAGCACCGGAGGTCATGTCGTACGTGCTTACTGATCTCTTGGTTTAGAGTCCGCTTTGCTGACGAAGTGACGGGTGGATTTTCACGTCGTTCCTTCACTAGCCCTAAAGTCTCTTCGGAAAGCTTTGACTTCCTACCCTTACGCTGCGTTGCACATAATCTCGTACCCTCTTCCCTGAGGATCCGAACCACATTTTCGAGGTTTTGGTTTACGTCTGATGTGGTTTCCACGGCAGCAAATCGGTTCTCCAGATTTGACTGGAACGTTTCAGATCCTGTTATAGATTGGAGCAGAGTAGGTCGGAGCCTGGATTTCATCAAACGGACGCGCTCGGCCTTAAAGTTGATATTCAGAGAACCCCGGACGAGTCGGTGATCACTACCTGTATTGAACCTGTTGATCACGGAGACGTCTCTGAATATATACCTCTTGTCCGTCATGATGAAATCGATCTCATTTTTAGTCATAGTGTCGGGGCTTTGCCAC